TTTGAAATTCAGGTTAAGAATTAAAGCTATGTTTTTTTTTTTCTCTCTGTTTTTTTAAGTGGCATATTTCTTTAGGATGTAAGTGATCATGGCTCTTTACAGACTCCCTTTTCTTTATCTATGAATAGCTATGACTTATTGGGAAAGAGTGTGGAGTAGTTTCTTGTTACCTTGTTCATGGTTTTGAATTCAGAGTAGTCCTCCTTCTAGAATGCCTACAACCTCTTGCTATTGAACCTGCAGCTGGAGGAGAAGATATATTCACGTCTTTCCCAGGAGCATTAATGTGAATGTGGACAAAACAAACTTGGTTGGAATTTGAATTATGTCCGGGAATTCCAATTTCTCTACCAATGACTGCGATACTAACTGTACACCCACACAAAGTTGGTTATAATGATAATAAATGTATCTCTTCTTCCTGAAAAACAATCCATTCTTATACGAAGGTGAAACAAATGAAGTGTTTTTTATAATCTTTGTTATCAATTAAAAATTTATTATCATTATTCATGGTATCAAGGTTAATTTTGACATCTGTAAGTGAATATACATGATATTCTGTTTAGATTATTATCATAAAAAGAAAAGTAGATTTAATTTGTTCTAGATATGTTTCCAATGGAAAAAATACTTTAAAAAAGAATAGAAAATATATTAAAGTACACAAATATTTTTCTTATCTGAATATTAATATCAAAACAGAAATTATAGTCTTACACCAAATATTTACAAAGTAATTGTTACTATGAAAGATAAAACCATATAAAAGGAAAGCAGTAGACACCTTTGTTTTACTAAAGATCCAGTTTTTATGTTAAAACCTTCCCCTGTGTCCAGTAAGTTTGTATAACAAATTTGATGATCCTATATGAAAGAATTTGACTGTGTATTATGCATATAAACTGAGCAGTCAAAAGAAATACCTAATTGATAATCTTTTTGCTCAGTTAATTGAAAAATGTTCATGTTATTGAATGAATGTTTCTTTTTTAGGCACATAAATATAAGCAAGTAAAAAAAAGATGAAAATCAGCAAAAAGAATGCACCACACATGGCTGGATAATGATTATATTTCCTATTGAAGTGTTATGTCAAGTTTTATCATCAACTTGATTTTGGCATGCCTGACAAAATGTATTGACCATGTTAAAAAAAATAGGCAAACATCTGTACTGATTTGGTTCTCTCTCACTGTGATGGAAAAAAAAACCCTGATCATATGATGAGGTATTGTTGGAGTGTCCTGTGTTAGTGATATATCTGAAACCCAGAGTGCTCATATGCTGAAAGCATTCAGTATAGCACTGCTCTGTACTTTTAAGAATATGATAAATCTAATGGCTGCGCCCTTTGTTTACATATATCTGTTTTCATGTCAATGTGGAGATGAAGCCAGTCTTCCATTAGTAAAATGAAGGAAAGTAGTGAAATTTGTCTAAAATGTTCAATGTTAGCATATCTAAAAGTGCCTCTGCCAGGAAGTGACTAGCTTAATTAAGCAGGTTATACAGGTCATATTTCATATCGATTCAATAAAGAGACGACTGTTATCATGAGTATTCGATGATTGTTGTGTTTGGGAGTTAAGAATTCTCAAGTTAGTTTTCCATGGATCACTTGGGAGTTAGAGGATGAATATCATGTTTGACAAGTATTAGATCTTGTTGAGAATATTCTCTGGGATGAAAAATAGTTGTTTTTGTAGATATTATATGTGAAAAATTTCAGATAATGCCTAATAAACAAAAGGGAGTAGGAGTTTTTGTTCTTTTTGTGTGTGTGATATATAAAAAGACAATCCTTAAAAATCCATTTCAATTATAATTTATTTCATGAATATATTTAAATATTCATCTCTTCAGAACAAAGGTTTTTTTATTTTCTTCAGTCTGAAGAGATGAATATTTGAATATATTGATGAAATAAATTATAACTGAAATGGATTTTTAAGGATTGTCTTTACTTATTATTATATTGCTTTGTTACTTACCTTGAGCTCTCTTTGGATTAATGTCCTCCTTGGAATTATCCCTACCAATTACCAGTTGGTATTGTCTATCTCTCTCTCTCATATACATATATATATATATATATATATATATATATATATATATATATATATATATATATATATCTACACACACACACACACACACACACACACTTTCTTTTAAGTGTGTCTAAACATATGTATACTTTTAAGTGTCTACTAGCTGAGGTACCCAGTGTTGCTTGGGTGTACATTACTGCAATTGTATACCCCCCCCACCATTTACCGACATCCTGGCTTGCATGCATTATCTGTTGGTATACTAAGCTACTCCCCCACTCATCTTTTTTATGACATGTTTTTCGCAAATGTTGACTGTTCTTAATATAGGAATTCCAAACATAAAAACCTTGTGTGGTTGTTACTCGTGATTAAATTGTTTCAATGTTTTAGATAATCAGTAAATTTCCTGTGGCCATAATAATTTTCAAATAGTATGGCATTGTTCACAAATCTAATAATCAAACAAAAACATAGATGAAGCATCAGAGCTTGATTCAAGTGCAAATGCATGAACGCCCCTCCACCTCCTTCTTTGCATGTTTACTGTAAATCTGGGGTTAATGAGAGGTTCTTAATGAATTTTCCCCTTTTAACGCTTCAATAATCCTTCTCAAACAATCTTTGCATCAAAGGTTGTTTGAATGCCAATTTAAGATGGAATCATATGAAGAAACTATTGGCTAAATTGCAAAAGCTGATTTTGGATTTAGTTTGTTGCAGATATTGTCCAATAACTGAAATAATCTGAAGCAAATATTCACACAAGACAATTTGTGTCATATGTAATTGACATCAGATGAAAAACTAGAGACTTATGGCTGAAAAACAGGCTTTTTAAACATTTTTTTCATGGTTTTTTGTTATACACAGGAAAGTGAGCAGGACTAAAACCACACTTATTTTTTGCATGATGGCAAATTTTTGCAACATGTTTGAAGAAAATTGGATAAAAAATGAGAAAGTTATTAAAGTTTTTATTTTAACTAATACGAAAAACCAAATTTTTTTTTTTTAATAGATTTTTGCAATTTTTTGTGTGAAACCAATGTTGCAGGAAAATTATCAAGCACTCTACATAAACTTTGTAACATGAGCTATGTTTTGCATTAAGTGCAAAGAACATCAGCTGATCCAGTAAAATTTTGTTTGCTTGTAACTTTGACTTGGTTTTTGTAAAAAGTTGTACCCACCTTCAGTTTTATTGATTTTTCTACCAAACCTGTGTGGCCTGGAAATTGAAAAGTTGGTCTTGATCTACCTTGTTAAATTTGCATCATGTGTGTACAATTTCATTGAAATTCGTCAAGAAATGTGGACAGGCATAAATAGTATATGCACAATCTTTTTCTATATATATATATATATATATATATATATATATATATATATATATATACACACACACTTTTAAATACATCTCTCTCTCTCTCTCTCTATATATATATATATATATATATATATATATATATATATATATATATATATATTTGACTCTATTTGACTCAGATCAGTTCCTAGGAACTGACAGCTCGACACCAGTACATGAGATTTGATTATAGTGGTGAAGGTTTCGCAGGACCATCCACACTTTTTGAAGGGGCGAATACAGAGACCTGATGCACTGTCGCACAAGGTTTCCAAATGACCCTCCAGGTTTTGAATCCAGTGTTGTCCTTCTCGTAGACCAGTTGTCATCCAAGGCTATAGAACCCAGTCTCTCTTGCTATTTACCCATAGGTGGAGAGAGAAGAGGATTCATACCTTTCCCAAGGGTATTAGTACTTAAGTGAATGTAATGGATTCGACTGAAATTCGAACTCAGCTCTCTGATTTCTCAATCAAAGCCGCTATCCATTACTCTACTGTGCCTATATATATATATATATATATATATATATATATATATATATATATATATATATATATATATATACACACACACATGAATCAGACCAGGTAACAATGGTATTAAAAAGTGCTCAATACACTTGAAAAAATAAAATAGAAGTAAAAATAACACATAGAGCTTTTAACTTAAAAAATCAGGAGATCAGTTGAATCCTCTACCTTGGTTTCAACCTTATGGTATCCTCAGGCAACTTTTTATCAATTAACCTCCTAACACTTTATTTTTTTATTTTTTATTTTTTTTTTAAATAATTAACTCTATAATTTTTTTTTTTTAATTTTTTTTTTTTAAAAATAAAAAATAAAAAGGTAACTAAAAAAAATGCACGATGTTGGGTGTAATAGAAAGGGAGGAGAAGTATGTGAAGTAGGAGGAAGAGAAGAATAGCAAGGGTATTGAATGTATCGGTGGAGGGGTAATTGAACTTTTTTTTTTTATCCAGCCTCATATATGCTTAAGAGGAATTTCTTAATGTGTATGCAAGGACTCAAGACTTTGAATTTCTGGTTCAAAAGGTTCTTTGGATCCAGAAATTTATTTTCATAAAGATTTCTGATTTTTAAATCATTAAAATAAAAATGTCCATATAAAGCTGACATGGAACAAAAGAAAATCAATGATCTGGGATAACAGCTTGGAAGGAGAAATTGAGGGATCAAGTTTGAATTCCAGTTAGGTTCATTACATTCATTAAAACACAAATACTCTTTGGAATTGTGTGAATGAATCTCCTCTTCCAGCTGTGGATTAAATAGTAGGACTTGTATCTGGAAAAATTGTGGTTATTCACAAAAAATTGTTAATGCAATATTCCTGCACAAAAAAAAAAAAATCTTAAAATTTACATTTTTTTCAGCTTTACATGATCCAGAAAGGATCAATAAAGAAATCAATATAGTGCATCCTGATTCTATAACAATAGAATATCTCATTATTTCACAAGAGATACAGATATGTAACCAATAAATATATATAGTCCTATTGTGTTCTATAGACTTCTACTTTGGTAAATAAATGAATATTTTTATTTTCAGATGAAGAAAATGACCTTGGAAAGCCCCAGTTACAACTTAGCTTCACCTGCTTTCTTATTGATCAGAAAACTGGAGAACACATTGTGGTTAGTATGTTTTTAATTCACTATTATTAGTGTAAGTTGGGGAGGGGATTACAAAATTCTAGCCATTTTGAAGATTACTATCTCTGCAGGAGGACTTATAATACAGGTCTTAAAATGGATGGAAGTTTACCAAAATTTACTTGGTTCACTTTTAACCAAAATTAACACACATCTTGCTGAAGATTACGATATACAGAAAATATAAATTACAGTTTTCTAATTATACATGGGCAATATATATTTGTAAATATAATTTAGAAACTTGCCAGCAGTAAAAATCACACAGATGTTCACACCTGCTTTTTCATTTAATGTTTTGCTTCATATTACACTGTATTTACCATTATTTTCTCATAATCTTTGCAGAAATAGATTTTTTTTCTTCAAGACTGTTTTATTCTTTGTATTTCATTTTTGAGGAATTGTTAATACACTTTTCAAACTATTGCTTTCATCTTGATTATTATAGATGTTATAGACACAATGTTTCAACCAAGTACTCTCTGGCCATCTTCAGTTGTTTATTGTCCAATATATGATGTTGATTATTGTATTATTTTGTTCTTGTGATACCAATTCTTGAAACAATGTAAATAATTTCCCTACCTGATCCAGGGATTGAACTCTTAACCACTAGATGACAACAACAAAACATTTATATTCGAACTATTGTCCTGATCTTTGTTGTTGTTGTTATCACAATTCCTCATCTCAGAAATGAATTACTTAATGATTAAAAGCAATATGGACCCACCATAATAACCAAATGGATAACAAATGCTCTATAAATGCACTTTTCAGTCTGTAAAAGAATGCCAGAATTAAACGAAAACTGTTGCATGAATATACACAGAACAATCTTTGAAAACGAATGTAGCAACATTCAAAAGTACTCAGGAGAAAAAAATAAAAAAATAAATAAGAATTTTGGCAAATTTACCAATAATGTAAAGCAAATAATTCAGAAATATGAAACATTTAATAAAAAAAAATGATAGAACTTGTTTAGAATGAATTATTGCTGCTGAAATACTGCCATATATATATATATATATATATCAACATGTTTTGTCCTATGATGAACTTTATCAAGGAGAATGTAAGGATTTTAATTTGCAGCAAGTATTTATAAACAGAAAAAAAATGTTAGTTTTTACAAAATTTTTATATTTAAAAACACTCAGAAATGTACCACTGTCTACACTGGAAGGAGATATATATATATATATATATATATATATATATATATAAACATTGAAGTCAACAGGCTGCTGCTTCTGGGTGTTGACTTCAATGTCTACATTTATATTTACATACACATATTTCTGATATCAAGCATTTTAACCCATAAATATGGCCATACCTTAAAATTATATATATATATATATATATATATATATAATGCACTGTTACATTTATATTGTCATCCACAGACACTGTATCACAGCTCCTCAGTGTGGCTAGATGTCTGATTGCTTCAAAATTGGATCTAAACCTGACTGATTTGACATCAGATATCCTATCCCTAGGCCATTGTCAATGTAACAGTGCATAATAAATAAATATTTATTGCTCTACTTTTGTATTGAGCCCAGTTTTAAATTAATGTTTTGAACGTTGAAATTTTATTCTTCGTTCTTTTACATTCGTGTGTGTATATATATATATATATATATATATATATATATAAGAGAGAGACAAAAAGTAGTTGAAAATGCAGCTGGAATCTTTAAGAATATTTTTATTTAGAATAACAAGACTTCAAAGTTACTCTAAATAAATATTCTGAAATATACTAGTTGCATTTTCAACTCCTTTTTCCTATATTCTTTACCCATGTAGGATATAAAAAAACAAAAACAAAAAAAACAATGGAAAAACAGTTGGCATTACTTAAATTGACTGGTCCTCTCATAATAAACAGGAAAAAGATTAGCATTCACTGGACCTTCCTCAAGCTGATATTTGTCAAAATTGAAAAATGTTGATTATTTTTTTTTTATTAATTGTACTTACATCATTGATAACTGTCTACTATTTCAGATTGTTTTGAAAGACACCATCACTTATCAATTACCTTGTTAATTTTTTTTTTTTTAAAGTTAATACAATAGCTAAAAAAATATTAAACTAAACAAAGCAGATTTTATAAATACTTTCTGTGTTTAAATTATTCATGTTTAAAGCTCTGATCAAGAAAATCTGCAAAATAATTGTAATTCTTGTAACATTAGACTGCCTTTGTTTGCAGACAAGCAGATTAGAATCAACTCTGAACAGCAATTATGTGAGACATATTTCAGGCTTCAATGATGGTTGAATGTTCTGGTTCGATTGTCAGTGTTAGAATTTAGAATATTTGCTAAGTGCTGGAATTAGTCAAACAGAGCAAGAAACTCCTTACTTATGAGTCACATAAAAGATTTTTGCAAAGAGTGCATTGAGTAGAACTTCTGACAATCTGAAATCCTGGACTTAATTTCCCAGGATTTCCTCCACTGATCTCCTTAATTCTTCTCAAAGAAGATTCTTTTTTTGACATCTATCAAATATATATATATATATATATATATATATATATATATATAAACATTTATAAAGTGCAGATATTAAGAAAGAATAAAACTTATATAATTTATCTTATCCTCAGGAAAAGTATTTTAATAAAAAAAAAAATTGTAGGTGTATGTTTAAATCTGCCATGGGCAACTAGTTCTGACTAGTGGGTTGTATTAGATATGGCTCATCATAAGTGGGCTGCATTGTTAAAAAAGATTCAAGGTAATTTTTTTGTTGAAGGTGCCTCAGCCATTTTCACTATGGAAAACCATACACATAAATTCTATGTTAAGAGTTTCTTTTAGTGCACTTCTTACTTGTGGAACTCCCTTTTGGCTTCTTGCTTCCCAGTCAACTAAGATTTTCAAAAATTTAAAAGCAATATCTTCATAATTTCTCTTCTTTTATTGTTTTCTCTCCTTAGTTTTTTTGTTTCCTCATATTCTGTAACACTCGGTAACCCCTTGTGTCTTTTCTCCAAAAAACAATCAACCCTTCCTCATTTTTTAAAATCAGTTTGTCCCAAGCAAAGCAATAAAATCACTAAGACACAATTGTGGTTTATGCTGCATCTATGCTGAATGGACCTTAGTTACAGTTTCTGGAAGAGAGTGCACTATCTAGTGTGATCAACAGTCTGAATCGAAACCTCGGTCGCAATGATTTCAGACTTTGTGCTAGCACAACCATCAACAGCTTCCAAATGGTTCTGTCTACCCAATTTCACTCACAAAGCTTTGGTCAATCCATAGTATGGTTTTCAGGCACTTTGCAAAGGTGCTGCATGCTGAGATGCCCTCCTCCAGACCAATAACACTGAGAAGTCCCTTCCTGACAAATTGGCCAGGGTATGATTTGAACTACTGTACTGATGCGGCATTCACCCTGGGCGGATTGAGCCGGCTTCTTTCTGTTATGAGAAGAAGATTCTTGGGATAAATTACAGAAGTAGGGTACCCAGGCCTACTCGGATAACGTTCTTGCTTGCCGCGGGATTCCCACAGACACAGAGACAGGAACGACCAGAAGCCGCCAAGTTACCGATGCAGACGCTCCTTGGATTTTTTACTAAAGCCCTTGTTAGTCGGCGTGTGTGTCAGACCTGTCCGCCTTTGGGTGGCCCTACCAGGAACGAAGTTCGGCAGCATAGCTCTGACACTACTGTTTACACCTCCCCACCGACTGTGAGGTAAGGGTTGACTTTGGGGGCTTACAGTACCAGGTGTTCCCAAGCGGTCCTCCATCTAAGTACTGACCTGGCTCTATGATGCTTAACTTCGGTGATCGTATGAGAACCGGTGTTGCTTACGGTTAAATCAAAAAAATCATGATTTGAACGCAGGCCTCATGGTCAGAAAATGAATGTTCTGACCACTCGTCCATGTATCTATACTCATAACATATATGACAAGAAAATTAAAGGCTAAATGATATATCTATTATTTTAAATTGGGTGTTTGAAAACGCCATAGTACTAATGCTGTGACAATGTCACATAGTACTAATGGAAGGTTAAATGCATTAAATAACATTCAATATATTTAGCTAAAAAATCTTGCTTGCCAGTCACAATTTTAAAGGTATTTGAATATGGAAAAAACAAGATGTCTATATAACAACAGATCTTAAAAAGTGCTAAAAGTAGGATTGCAAGTTCTCATTAATAAACATTTAGACAATAGCTATACTCATTAGGCTTAAAGGTATTTTATATTGTACATAAACAAGAAAGATTAACTTAGAAAAAGATTGTTCTTTTACTACCTATCATTTATTAATGAAACATGTATCATATTGTCAGCTTTATCTTGTATCCAAGAATTTAATTTTTTTTCTGATTGCTTTCTTTATGATGATGGCGTTAATAACTAAGTAAACCAATTCTTGCATGGAAGAGCCAATGTCATTGACTGCATAGTAATGTTGGTGGGAGGACAAGGTTGATTTTGTCAAGCCTTTCTCTCTTGTTTGAATTCTTCCATTTTTTCTTCTGGTGGCTTCAAAGTTTGGGGTTCCTATGGTGATGGAACATCACCAGTTGGTACGGTTTTGTGCTTGTGTTTAAAACAATTTAGGCTGAAGTCCAGTGGCTTTCAGCGTTGTTTTGAGTTGGTCCTTGTATCTTTGAAGAGGACTCACTGAATAAGACATGATGTGAAAAACTTGACTCTTCCATTCTTGCTACATGTCCTGACCATTGAAGACAGTGTTTTATGATTAGTGATGTGATACTTTGACTGATGGCTCATTCCAGGATTTCAGTGTTGGTTAAGTAGTAATTCCATTTGATGTTCAAGATTGAACAAACTTTTTGCTGGTGAAAGCATTGCAAGAGTTGATGTCAGGTGAAAGAAAATAAGAGTAGAAGAAAGTGCCGATGACATGAATTTGTTAAAGGTGTACCTCAACTTGCCAGGAAGTTACTCACACACTATATTTCA